CCCCCTTCTAAACTTGACCAGAGTTTCCATCTGCATCTCCAGTCCTCGGATCTTTTTTTCCATCAGCTCTATCAGGCGGCACTTCATGCAAACAAAACTCCTTTCAGGTACCCCCTCCAGAATCATGTACATACCGCAGCTACTACATCCAATCATCCTCCTTGTGTTCTCTACTACTTGGGCCATGGCCACTACTGCCTCTGTGTTTTATCTAGTTTCTCACCAAAATCCCATTAGTCCGGTAAACACAAAAACAGACCAAAACACCCCCTCCACAGCAAAAACAAACCCCAAACAAGTCCCAATATCCAAACGCCCTTTACAAACTCCTCCCACTCAAACTCCCCTGTTTACAGCTCTTGTTTGCTGGCTCCTGTGCCGCTGCAGCTATCTATGCCGTTGCCTGACTAGAAGGCTACCTTTATAGGACCCCTAATCTATGTGAATTGATAAAGGGGAGTCTGGTCTCCTTCCTTCTGCACAGAAGCAATTGGACTATGAAAATAATGTATCTCTCATGACATCACAGTGTTGGCAGCCTCCGTCTCGGATACATAGAACTCAATGGCGGACGCTCTCAGTACCAGATTGTCACGTGACTATAAGTGGAACTAGACCCAAGCAGTGCTTGGATGCCAACTAGATTTGTTTGCCGTTTATCTGAACAAGAAATGTCCTCACTGCTGTTCCAAAGCAGGGATAGGACAACACTCACTTGGTGATGCCTTCCCTTCTTTCCATTTTCCCAGCTATCAAAGGTCCTGCTGAGAATAAGAAGAGACTGTGCATGTGTCATTCTGATCATTCCTACATGGATGAGACTAACCTGGTATCCTTACCTGACACAGCTCATGACGCACCTACTGATCTCTCTCTCCAGCTTGCTCTGCATCTCCTCTTGCAGAACAAAGGACATACTCTATATCCAAAGCTGGCTATTCGCAATCTTAGTGCTTGGCTCCATCCAGATGCCAGTCCAGGCCCAGGCAAAACATGGCCCGCAGGACGGATCCAGCCTGCGGACATTGCGGGAAGCCTCAGTCAGGTCTCGCTTGCCTCCCCCCACTTGCAAACGGCTCAGAAGCACAGCTGTGGGGAGGTTTCACTTTAAAAACTGAGCCCTGAGGGGGGGAAGCTTTAGGAGCTGCTCCCACTTCCAGCACAATCCCATTAGCTGCCTTCTGGTCAGAATCTGGCCAATGGGAGCTGCGTGTTTCAATAAAAGGCAGCCACGAAGCAAAAGGGGCGCCTAGTTATTCACAGATCACATGACTGTAGCCTGTGCTGGGGTGGGCCAGGCAGGGAGGCTGATTCAGGAACAGGCTGCTGGCTGGTAAGTCCCCTGGCCAGAGGCTGCCTCTGGCACCCCAACCCTCCGCCCCACACTCCTGTCCCCCCTACTCCACATACCCAAATCCTCTGCCCTCCTCCAGCACTGATATTCCCTCCTAGATCTGGCAACCTAACCCTGCCCCAGATCAGTCTCCTCCTGCCCTAATGCACAATCCAATCCCCTGCACTCCCTCCTGTACCCCAATTCCCTGCCCTAAGCCACAGTTCAAACCCCTGTACCCTAGTCCAGTGCCCCAGGTCACAACTGCTTCCTTCACCCAAACTCCCTCCCTTATTCCAAGCTCCCTTCTGCACGCAACCTCCATCACAAACCCTGCATCTTCTCTATTAATATCATGGAAGTGTGCGGCCCTTGACCACCTTACAAATTCTTGGAGTGGACCCCCCATCAAAAATTAATGTCCACGCCTGTTCTTGTCATACACACTCCACAAGGTCAGTCTCATCTGTTGCCTTCTCACTATCCCTGCCTCAGAAATCTGAAGAGCGGCAACACAATTGTTGGTTCACATCTTTTCAGAACATTATGTGATCACTGGGGACTCTGCCTGCAATGCAATCTTCAGCTCCATAGTATTGTCATCTGGAACCAACCCAACTTCAAAGTCCTAGCCTTCCATACAGGTACTGCTTGAAAGTCACCAACAGCGGAGCACCTATAGGGACCCTACTCAAAGAAGGAGTTTGTTACCTTGTGTGGCAATGATGGTCCTTTGAGCTATTTGTCCCTATAGGCACTCCTCAACCCACCCTCCTTTCCTCTATTTTGCAGTTCTTGTCAATGATTACAGTAGAAAATAAACTAAGGGTGGTTAGCCTGCGTGTTCTGACTAGCCTTGTGCTGCAGCATGAGGAGTGGCAGCACTAGAGGGGGCAAAACAGACACTGCTACCGAAGTTTTCCAATCAGCGGCACAATGACACAGACACACCAACAGAAGAGGGCCCATAGAGGGACACATCTCAAAGAACTATCGTTACTGTGCAAGGTGAGTAACTTCTTGTGGTGCTGACTGCTAGCTAGCTCAGGTTAAAACCTCAAGCATGATGTATACCTTGCCCTGAGGCAAGTGACTGGCCCTTTGGGGCTGGGAATAACCAAAAGTGTAATGATGATTTTGGTTTTATTTAGGGATGTTAAGCAACTAGTCAAGTACTCGACTACTAGCATCTGGCTTAAAAGCCAGTTTCCTCCAGCACCATGTCTGTGGGGCAGAGGAGACTTGCGCCAGGTCCCAGACCACTGTGCCTCTATATTTTAAATGTTGTAAGAGACACCCAGCAGAGACACAGCAGTCCAGGACCTGCTACACAACTACACAATTCGCCAATTACCCGCTTCTTAACATCTTTAGTTTTAATAACTTTTCATCTTTAAGTCCAGTTGGTCTGGGTGGCTATGTAGACTGGAGTATCTTGGAGTACTGGCTGTGGCTCCATTGTAAGCTGGTATACTGACTAGGAGCACACATTTGTTGCTGGTTTGGATAAATCTAGTTATAGAATCTGCCACCAGTTTTGGTGAGTTTTCCCTATTTTCTGACAATCTGACGTGAATGGTTTGCTACTCTGGACCTTCAGGACACCTCATATCCTGTGAATTTGGCAATGCTAAAGAAAATTCCTTTAACTTGTCATGGCAGAACATCATTTTCAGTACACAGTGCTTCTAGTTAATCTTTGTTCTACACCTTAGGTTTTACCAAATTCATAGTCATCATGACATTGTATCTCAGGAAGAAAGAAATCTCTATCCAGACAACTGGGGGGCAGGTCCAGAGAGGAAATTCTTGTTCACACAGACATTACACTGTAATTAGTTGACTGTCTGGATCTCATCCTAAACAACAGGAAGTCAATTTTAGTTCCACCTCTGAAAATTGAGTTAATTGGGGCCCTAATAGATTCTGCAAGTTCAACAGGGTTTCTGCCAACTGACTGTTTTCAAGCAATTTGCCACCTTTGTGTCAGTCTGCAGTCTCAGACTTTCTCAACAGTTTGGATGTGCTTAAAGCTTCTGGGCCACAGGCCTACTTGCACACAAGTGGTCCAGTTTTCAAAATAGTACCTTCATCTCCCTCCAAATGTGGTTCAGGATGGTTTACCATCCAGTTCTTAACCCTCTACAGAGATTGATTCACCTTTCTCAACTGATTCTGTCCCAAGACGCAGTCAGGTTGTGGCACTTCTGCACCAAGGAGAGCAATAGCGGACCAGCCCAGAGTCCTGAATCATATCATAGATTATTTAACAAGGAATTTTTCCCTGAGTCACTAATGGTCTTTGAATTCAAGTGTCTTCTGGGTCATCTTCACAGTTTGAGGCATTCTGATGATCGATCCATTTGCTACAAGAGACAGCAGGAAACAATGTCTGTTCTTCTCTCGAGGATCCTCAGTCTGAGCTCCCAGTCCAATGCTTTACATCTCAGTTGGCAGTCAGCTTGCTTGTATGCTTCTCCCACAATACCAATCATCCCAAGCTGAAAGCAGATCAGGTCAAGCTCATTCTCTTTGCCCCGGCCTGACCAAGCCAGTGCTGGTTCTCTGACTTTCCCAGATTGTCAGTTCAGCCTTCCATGTCCATCCTAACTGGCTCACAAAGAATCATAGTCAGACATTGCATTCAGTTTCTTACATCTCACAGGGTAGCTGCTTCCTTGATAAATGAGGAACAGTGATATTTGATTGCTGTTTAACAGACCCTACTCAACAATAGAAATTCAGCTAAATGGAAGCCATTTTTTGATGTAATCATTGTCTCATGGAATGTAACCAATGCTTGCTTCTATCTGGTATAAAGGCTACTCTGTTATTTTTCAAATCCCTGCTCCAGTGCATGGGGGCACCAGTACTTGTCAAAGAAAAAACTCCAGGATTTTTAAATGTTGGAAAATAAGTTTTTTTTTTTTTTTCCCTTGATCCTGGAAGGTACTTAGGGTTATAAATAAATATCCTGAGGCAGAAACCTGACACAGAACATTTCAGCCCAAATAGTAAAGTGTGGAAAAGTTACAAGAAACTGAAAACAGAATCTTATTACGGGAAGAGAAAGGCAATGTTATTACTAGCTGCCAGCCTTAACCATTATATTTGTGTTGGATGATTGCTTTAAAGGTAGGAGTGTAAATGATTTATTATGATATATATTTTATGTAACATGCGTTCATGAAGTGTGCTAGATTGACAGCCCTGAAAAGAGAAGTTGTTTATTCAGACAGATACTAACCATCCTGAATACCTCACAGGGAATGCCTACACAGCAAAGAAAAACCCATGGCTGGCCCATGCCAGCTGTCTTGGGCTTGAGCTGTGGGGCTGTTTCATTGCTGTGTAGACTTCTGAGTGCTGGTACCTGAAAGTCTAGCTCTTGGGGAAGGCCAGAAATGTACAAAGCAATGAAACAGCCCTGCTGCCAAAGCCCCCACTGTTTTTCCTTTGTGGTGTAGACTACCTATATTGCCTTCTCGTGTGTTCCAGGGAGGACCTGAAGGGATCACTCCTAGTTTAAAGCTATGATATTACAGTCCAGTATCAGCCTCTTTGCTGATTACCTAGCTCATTTAAAATAGTATTTCAAGCTGTGCATACATGCACTTCCTTCACAAGTGTCAATCCTATATAATGATAATAATATTCTTTATTTTAGATCATCATTGAAAGTGGTCAAGGCAGCAGCCCAGGTATTGAATACATTATGGCAATACCGAGACCTCCGTAGCATTTATAAAAAGGTATATTATAAGTACGGTGCTGACAAAATTAGAATTCTTCTGGAAGAAACTTTACAAGTATTTATTTTATTTATTTATTTTAATGAAATGTAATTCATTTTTACGCTCTTTCCCACACCACAGGATGGATGGAATCAGAATCATTTTATTACACCAGTATCAACATTAGAACGAGACCGATTCAAATCGCATCCCTCTTTGTCTACAACAAATCAGCAAATGTCACCTATCATTCAGTCAGGTTAGTTAATAAACCTTTTCCTCTTTGTGAACAAATTAGCTGAAGGTTTTTCAGGGAGATCTGGTATGTCCCTTCTGGAACTTCAGTGTACTCTTGAATGTGATATTACTTATTTCAGTGATATTACAGTTTTATCCTGTGAGTTCTTCTGCTGTGCAGTAGTAATGTGGAGCAAATAATTAAGGAATTAATCTGCAAACATCTGGAAGATAATAAGGTGATAGCTAACAGCTAGCATGGATATGTAAAGAATAAATCATGTCAAACCAACCTGATAGCTTTCTTTGACAGGATAACAAGTCTTGTAGATAAGGGAAATGTGGTAGAAATGGTATACCTAGACTTCAGTAAGGCATTTGACTGTCTTATCAATAAACTAGGCAAATACAACTTAGATGGGGCTACTATAAGGTGGGTGCATAACTGCTGAATAACCGTTCTCAGAGAATAGTTATTAAGGGTTCACAATCCTGCTGGAAGGGCATAAAAAGTGGAGTTCTACAGGGGTGTGTTTTGGGACCGGTTCTGTTCAATATCTTCATCAACAATTTAGATATTGACATAGAGAATACGCTTATTAAGTTTGCAGATGATACCAAGCTGGGAGGGGTTGCAACTGCTTTGGAGGACAGGGTCATAATTCAAAATGATCTGGACAAATTGGAGAAATGCTCTGAGGTAAATAGGATGAAGCTTAATAAGGACAAATGCGGAGTACTGCAGAAAGGGATCTAGGGGTAATAGCGGACCACAAGCCTAATATGAGTCTACAGTGTGACGCTGTTACAAAAAAGAGCAAACATGATTCTGGGATGCAGTAACAAGAGTGTTGTGAGCAAGACACGAAAAGTCATTCTTCCGCTTTGCTCTGCGCTGATTAGGCCTCGACTGGAATATTGTGTCCAGTTCAGTTAAGAAAGATGTGGAGAAATTGGAGAAGGTCCAGAGAAGAGCAGCAAGAATGATTAAAGGTCTAGAGAACATGACCTATGAAGGAAGACTGAAAGAATTGGTCTTGTTTAGTTTGGAAAGGAACAGACTGAAAGGGGACATGATAGCCGTTTTCAGGTATCTAAAAGGGTGTCACAAGGAAGAGTGAGAAAAAGGGTTCTCCTTAGCATCTGAGGACAGGACAAGAAGCAATGGGCTTAAACTGCAGGAAGGGAAGTTTAGGTTGGACATTAGGAAAAAGTTCCTAACTGTCAGGGTGGTCAAACACTAGAATAAATTGCCTAGGGTAGTTGTGGAATCCCCATCTCTGGAGATATTTAAGAGTAGGTTAGATAAATGTCTATCAGGGATGGTCTAGACCGTATTTGGTCCTGCCCTGAGGGCAGGGGACTGGACTCGATGACCTCTCGAGGTCCTTTCCAGTTCTAGTGTTTTATGAGTCTATAAAATACAGTTCTGACCAGGATTTTGGTGAAGATTGTGAATCCTCCAAGAGATCAGAGAGGCTGCAAAACTAGAATACTCAATTATAAAGAGAGATTTCAGCTATTCATATATTGGCAAGGTACATGTTACTTCAGGATAACATGCTGAGATAAAGTTTCAAGACAGCATTAGGTGCCCTAAGAAGTAGTCATTAATCTTAGAATCTGCAAAGGGAAAGGCAATCTTTGATTTAGTTCTGAGGGGAGTACAAGATGTGGTCCAAGAGATGAATATAGCTGAACCACTTATAATGTAATTAAATTTGATATCTTTGTGGGAGGAAATATCCCAAAGCATTTAACTTTAGAAAGGGAAACTACAAAAATGAGGAAGCTAGTTAAATGGAAATTTAAAGGTACAGTCACAAGAGTGAAATGCCTGCAATCTGCATGGAAACTTTTTTAAAACAACATAATAGAGACCCAAATTAAATGCATACTCCAAGTAAAACAAAAAACTAGTAAGGGGACCCAAAAAGTGCCACTATAGCTAACTAACCCAATAAAAGAAGTTGTTAATTGCAAACAGGGATCCTTAACAAATTTGAAGTTAAATCCTACTGAGGAAAATAGAAAGGAGCAGAAATCTGGTAATCCAATCATAAAAGTATAATTAAATATGTCAAAAATGAATTTGAAGAGCAACAAACAAAAGACACAAAAACTAACAACAAAATAGGTTTTTAAATACATCAGAAACAGGAAGCCTACTCAATGGTCATTGGGGCCAGTTGTCAATTGAGATGCTAAAGCAGCACTCTTGAGTAGGCCATTGGCAGAAACATTTAATAGCTTCTTTGCATTGGTCCCCACTGCAAAGGATTTGAGGGAGATTCCTGCATCTGATCTATTTGCGGTGGGGGAGATTGTTTTGATTTTTTTTTCTTGGTTTTGTTTTGTTTTGTTTTGTTTATGGTTTGGTTTGGTTTGGGGGAAGGTAACAAATCTATATAACTGTCCCAGATAGAGCAGTTATTAGAGGAGGGTTTTGACCAAGTTGATTAACAGTAATAAGTAACCAATATCAGTTGCTATTCACCCGAGAGTTCTGAAAGAACTCAGATATAAAGTTGCTGAACTACTAACCTATTACTTAAATCAGCTTCTGTACCAAATGACTGGAGGATAATTAATGTGATGCCAATTTTTTTAAAAGATTTCAAAGGCAATCCTAATAATTACAGCCTAATTTCAGTACTAAGCAAATTGGTTGAAATTACAATAAAGAACAAATTAGCAAACACATAAATGACCATACAGGAATTTGGTGACAAGACTCCACACAGCTTTTGTAAAGGGAAATCAAGCTTCATGAATCAGTTAGAATTTTTTGAAAGGATCATTCAACATGTACATGGGGGATTCCAGTAGATATAATGTAATTTGACTTTCAGAAAGCTTTTGACAAGGTCCCTCACCAAAGGTTCTTAAGCAAAGAAAGCAGCTGTGGGATAAGAAGGCAGGTCTTCGTATGACAGGAAAAATCAGGAAACAGTAGGAATAAATGGTCAGTTTTTAGAATGTAGAGAGATAAATAGCAATGTTCCCCAATGATCTATACCAGAACCAGTTTGGTTCAACATATTCACCAGTGATCTGGAAAAGGGGTAAACTGAGAGGTGGCAAAATTTGCGAGAGACATAAAATTACTCTGGATAGTTAAGTTCAAAGCAGACTGCAAGGAGTAAAAAGGATCTAACAAAACTGAGTGACTGAAACAAAATGGGAGATGAAATTGTGTTGATAAATGCAAAGTAATGCACATAGCAAAACACAATCCCAATTGTACATAAAAAATAATGGGGTCTAAATTAGCTGTTACTACTCGAGATTTTGGAGTCGTGGATATTCTTCTGAAAAATTTGCTCGACGTGAAGCAGCAATCAAAAAAGCTAAAAATGTTAGGAACCATTAGGCAAGTGATTGATGATAAAACAGAAAATATAATCCCAATATATAAATATGTGGTATATCCACACCTTGAATACTGCCTGCAGTTCTGGTTGCCCTGTCTCAAAAAAGGCTATATTAGAATTAGAAAAGGTACAAAGGATCACAAAAACGATTCATGGTATAGAACAGCTTCCACATGAAAGAGATTAAAAAGATAGTCATTTCAGCTTGGAAAAGAGACAACTAAGGGGCCATATGATAGAGGTCTTCCAAATCCTGAATGTCGTGGAAAAAGTGAATAGGGAAATCTCTTTTTACCCATTCACATAATACAAGAAGCAGAGAGCTCCCAATGATGTTCATAGGCAGCAAGTTTAAATGAAACAAACAAACAAAAGTATTTCTTCATACAGTGTAGTCAACCTGTGGAACACATTGCCAGGTGATGTATTGGAGGCCGAAAGTATAACTTGTTTTAAAAAAGAATTAGAGAAGTTCATAGAGAATCGGTCCATCATTGGCTATCAGACACTGATGCTTTCTTTCTCTTACCTCCTTTTCATCAGTTGGCAGCACATCTTCATCGCCGGCACTGCTAGGAATTAGAGAACCTCGTTCTGAATACAATAGGACACAACCTTCTATGCAGTATTACAATAGCCAAGGTGATGTCATTACGCATAAAGATATATATCCTGGTAAGAGACCAGTTAGATTTACTGTAAACAAAATGCTTCTAAAACAGTGTTTCTTAAACTTTTGAAGACCGAGGAACACCACACACTATTTTTTTTTTTTTAATGAGGAACACCAAGGATTTTTTTGTTGGGGGGAGGGGAGAGACAAGCTTGCCCCTTGAACATGAGACTACAGTTTTTCTGTCAACAACAATATTCACTCACTGCCCTATGAAGCCTTCTAAACTTCTGCCTTTTTGATAGGGAAATATAATTTACTCTGTTTACTCATATTGGTGGAAATTATAAATTCAATACCTTATCAAGCACATGTTAATGTCAAGCAGCTGACTGATAGCAGCCACGCCAGCGTTAGGAGCACTGAGGGCCTTACCCTGACCCCCAATTCACAGTGGGTCCCTTACTGCTTAATGTTTTTTCCTTCAATAGTTCTAGCCCCTGGCACTGTTATTTTTGACACAGAATACTGAAGGGAAGGGCCTTGTCTGTGCAAGAGGGTAGAAGGTGCTAGCCCCCTCAGCTGTCCTGGGTAACAAATGAGGGCTAAAGACAGCGGTGCAAAGACCCGGTCGGGGTGGCAGCTTTAGGGCAGTTCTCTCCCCTGGAAGGCAGGATCCCCAGACCAGCAGCGGAGACAGCCAATCAGAGCCGGCCCTGCTGCTGGCCCTGCAACACTCCTCCCCTCTGGTAAGGGGCACAACCGAGGTGCGGAGCTTTCCCTGGCGGTTGCAAGTCAGGCGCAGAAGCATATGAGGAACCTGGGTAGCCCCGCCTCATTTCCTGCTGTGTCATCTCTTGCTCACTTCTTCCACTCTTCGCACGGAAGCATAGGAGGAGGAATGTAGGTAGCCCCGCCTCATTTCCAGCCGCGCCATCACTCGCTGAACTCTTTGCACCACCCGCGTCTCAGCAGTTCTCGTGGCCATTTTTTTCTTAAATGGCCACGGCACACCTGTGATGGTGTTTCGCGGAACACAGTTTAAGAAACAAGGTTCTAAAATATTATTTTGCGTAGTTCACATTCTGCATGGGAGAATGTAGTGTATGCAGTTAAAAACTAATGATGGGACTATTTTTGTTGTATTGTTCAGCAGCAACTAAATTGTCTTGAAGAATAAATGCTATGTTTGTCGTTCACCATTGATTTCTTGAGGAAATCATATCCTCCCAGATATGACCATTTTATACTGTTTGGTTTTGCATTTGTTGTTTAAAAATAATGTAACTATGGAATAAAACTTAAGGTCAATTTAAGTATTGTGCTGCAAAGGAATTTGTATAAGTAAAAATTGGTGTGTTCTTAACACCTCATTTAGCTGTCCCAAGCTTCATTTACATAAAGTTCTGCACATATTACATTGGGTTTGTGTTCATTTTTATTTAGTAACTTTACTATGTGGGTCAGAAATGGGGTTTTTTTGAGGTTTTTGTTACTACTGCTGCTTGTTTTTGTTTTGTTTCTTTGTTAGTTTTGGGTGGTTTTTTTTCCTGTTTCTCTTAAAATGCACAGTTTACCCAAGAAAGAAGATATCAAGCTTGCATGTTTGTCTTTTAAAATATGGGAAGGCTGTGTTTCAGTGCATAATAAAACATGGTGGCTCCCATTTGAAAAAGTGATCTTTGATGTATATCAAACTGAATTTTTATTACCAAATACTGTTGTTGAATATTATTTTTTTTATGTTATGGCTTTATTGATAAATATTAGGGGGAAATATGCCAAGACTTTTTCTTTTCCCTCATCTCAACTATCTTACACATAATTTTGAACCCCAGACTAAGCAAGGAAAATCACAAATTCCTTGTGTAAAAAGCTGGAGTATTAAAAAAAAAATTCTGAGGCAATTTAACTGCTGCTGAGGGACACATCTCATTTGTGCTGTTCTCTTTTAAGCTGTGATTTCACACTGCTGTTTACTAATGATGTATGGTTACTGTGGCTGTTTAACATCTGGAATGTTACATGGCAAATACAATGTTCTTTTTTAAGGCAATGCCTGTTAAAAACATATATTGTGAGATTTATTTGTCCTACTAGCGTTATTGTAAAGTAAAATTTTTTTAATGGACACATCATATAATTTTTTCTTTGGTGCCTTGATTCTGTATAGAATCTGATTGAAAAATCTTCTGAAAATTATTTATTTTGCATCCTTATTTTTGTAGACCCAGTAGCTTCTTAAACTTCATGCATGAAATGTCATAACATTCTGTGGTGGCGATGACCATAGTTGTATCTTTATGTGGGTAAAACGTACTCTTTTGTGTGTGTTCATAAATGTACATTAGCCATAAATGTTAAATAGTACGTGGAAGATTCTAAATTGATTTGTAAGCATTAACTAATTCATCTCATTACACTCGTGTGAGGTAGATAATATGTTGCATATCACCATTTTACAGATAGGAAATCGAAAGTGTGAACTAATTGTTAAGTAATTTGATCAAACTACAGGTGAAGTTCATGGCAGAGCAAAGATTGGAATTGAGGAATTCATGGCTTCCCATCTGTGTTGTGCTCAAAATATTCTGCTGTTACTTAACTTATTGTAGCCCACACTAACACCTAGAGGTTTTGTTCCCTGTAGTGGCTAAAACATATACAGGCAGTCCCCGGGTTACGTACAAGATAGGGACTGTAGGTTTGTTCTTAAGTTGAATCTGTATGTAAGTCGGAACTGGCGTCCAGATTCAGCCGCTGCTGAAACTGATCATTTTCAACAGCAGCTGAATCTGGACGCCAGTTCTGACTTACATACAG